TTTTCCTCAAGGCTCAGTAAATTATTTATACTTTATTTAAACGATATTTTTAATATTCCAGTATTTTGAAGTTTATAATGTTGGACGATACAAATTAATTTTTTTCTGGAAAAAATATGGATGAAATATAAACAGTAGAAAACATGGTTAGATTACAATAAGTTATCATTAAATGAAGAAAAAACTAAGTTTATGTTTTCTCTGGTAATCGGATCTATATCATGTAAAGTTGAAAGTGATCGACTTCATGAGACATTTTTTAGGGATTATTAAACAATAAACTCAGCTGGAAGCCTCATATTGAAGATATTAGAAATAAAGTTGCAAAAACTACTGGAATGAGTAAAATGGAGTGGAGACGGATATTTCAGAGCTCCTGCAGGTTTATTAACATATTCGTTCTAATTCCACAATTGCTACTAACTGCAACCTAAATTGGGTTATCAAAGGTTCTGGACTATACAAATATCTGTTTCAGTGGATATTTCTTGATAAATGGCGGATAAACTCCGTAAATTCAAGTACGACGGTACTGCGGCGAAGCTAACTGCTAACACCACAGAGCATGCTCCAGAGGACGAAGACCCGCAACCCAAGAGCTCCAGAATGAGTGAGGAGATGAGAGCCGGTATTTTATCCTCTATTCGTGGGGAAATCTCTAAAATTAAGGGAGGAAATGAGGAGTGCGCTGTCTGAAGAGTTTCCTACGCTCAGAGCTGACATACAAGCTGTGAGGGCCAATAGCAGCAGGGCCGAGCGCAAATCGTGACACCGCACCTACTAATGGCACTTCCGGTGGCAGGTGTGACACCTGCCACAAGTGCCACTGCTTTCGGGACTAGCTGCCAGTGCTGCCACTGCGTTCGGCTGACTTCGGCTGACCTCGGCACCTCGTACTGGCACTTCCGCTGACACCTGCCATTAGTGCCACTGTTTTCGGGTCTAGCTGTCAGTGTTGCCACTGACTTCGGCAAATGGACTACATATCCCATGATGCTTTATTACTAGTAGAAGAAGAACTTAAAGACAGACGAAGAAGACAGAATTTAATAAGAGTTTTTTTTCGCAGAAATACTTATGTTAGCTGAATTCCTACACGTTTTGTATGATTCGTTCATCCTATTTATTCACTAAAGTTCATCTGAATAATCCAGCCGACTCCTTTCGTCGTTGAATTAATCACGGCACCTTTGTAACAGCTGAGCCTGGCCTCCACTAGAGCTGCTGTTTGGTGTCCAGGATGTTTCAGAGCTGTCACAACTGGTGCCGATGTTTTGGGGGATGGCAATGACAGTTTTTGGAAAACGTGTTACTTATATTGCCTGTTTATAAATTTGTATTTCAATGGTAATTGTATTGGTTAATTATCCGTTTAACACCTTG